GTCCTAGGTAATAAATTAAAGGGGGCGAGACAGGCAGGTGTCATGGTAGTTAAGGGTAATGGCTTCACACATGACCAATTACAGTTTGAGTCTCAGACCTGGCAGCTTGCTTTCTCATTTTCCCCCACTCCCCTCTCTCTCTCACTCTGTCCCTCTCTGGTCCAATTAAAATAAATAAATAGGGACCAGCAAATGGTATAATAGCTATGTCTCTGGACTCCCATGTAGTTGACCACGGTTCAGTCACAGACCCGGTGACTTAAACTCACGCTGGGCACATGTGCGTGCGTGCCCAAGATCCCAAGAGGAGAATGGAGGAGATGAAATTGCAGCATGGCCATCCTCCCAGAGGGGGTGATTTCTCGCTTTCTGTCTCTCTCTGTCTTTCTGGCAAGCACCTGTGCCCTATAGCAAAAAACTCTCCAAAATAAATAAATAAATTAAATTAAATAAATCTCTAAAAAAGCAAAAATTAAAGGGATGAGGTGAAGCATTTTAAAAGTGTGAAGTGGGGACATTTTAATTGACAATATAACCAGACGAGAGATACCGGAACAGAGAGCATGTATTAATCCCCATTAATCATCATTATATCCAAAGCCTAATTAGTCAGAAGTTCTTTCTGAGTGATGATTACTGAAATTAAATTAAACCAATCCTTCTGATTATATTGGGTCATTCTGATTATCATGAAAAGTCATGATACATTTTGCACAGAAAACAAAAAAATACATGACTGAGACCAGCAGTTAGCATAATGGCTATGTTGCTGGACTCCCACGTAGTCGACCACGGTTCAAGTCCTGGACCTGGTGGCTTAAACTCACGCCAGGCGCGTGTGCGTGTGTGCCCAAGATCCCGAGAGGAGAATGGAGGAGAAGGGATTGCGGTGTGGCCATCCCCCCTGGGGGGTTGATTTCTCACTTTCTGTCTCTCTCTGTCTGGAGAATGCACACGCCTTATAGCAAAAACCTCTAAAAAAAAAGACATGACTTGTCAAACAACTGAATATACAGTCAATATTTCTTTTTTTGGGGAGAGATTTTTGCTATAGGGCACATGCACTTACCAGAAAGACAGAGAGAGAGAGAGAGAGAGAGAGTCAGAGAGACAGAAAGCAAGAAATCACCACCCAGGAGAGGATGGCCACATCACAATCCCATCTCCTCCATTCTCCCCTTGGGAGCTTGGGCACGCACGCACATGCGCCTATTGTGAGTTTAAGCTACCAGGTCTGGGACTCGAACCGCGGTCAACTACATGGGAGTCCAGTGACATAGCCACTACACCAACTGCTGGTCTCTACAGTCAACATTTCCAAGAACTACGGAATGATTTACATAGAAAACGCATATAAAAATCTTATTTTCAAGAGTCAGAGTAAGCAGAGAATGCCAAGAGAGTAAGGATAACTATAGATGAATATAGGAAATCTTTACTTTCTTAATTATGCACAACTATGGAGCTAACGAATTTAGAAAACAAATTTGTACATTAAAGAAATTAAAAATAATGGGGCCAGCAGGTAGCATGGGGATTAAAGTACTGGATATCCACTAAGGATCAAGTCCCAGACCCATCACGCCAGGCATGTGTGTGTATGTGCCCAAAATCCCAAGAGGAGAACAAAGAAAGAATTGCAGTGTGGTTATCCCCTCCCCTGGGGAGGGTGCGTAATTTCTCACTTTCCCTCTCACTATCAGTCTTTCTCCAGTGAACACACACACCCTAAGGAAAAAAATCTACAAAAAAAGAAATTAAAAGTAAAACATTTGAAAACCTTTTATACAGATCTATTTCATTTAATGCCATTAATATTTAGAATACTAAGATCTCTGGATAAAATTAGAGACCTCCTAATTCTCTGGCCTTCTAATTCTATGGAGTTCATTCATTATAATGTTATTAATAAATCCACTCTTGCATTTTATGGAGATTTTATAATTGAGGACAATTTTTTACATGAATGGCAAACTGGCAACTCTTGCAAAGATTCAATAATACATAGGGCCTTCCTATGTCTCAAGCAACTCCATGCTTGCAATCCTCCTGCCTCATCCTCTAAGTCACTAGGATTACAAGAATATGTCACCACAATCTAGGAGGTAGAATCAAACCTCCTGTGACCTAATCTCCCCTGTGGTCCCAGCCTATGGAACACAGCATCTTAGCAGTGTACGTCACTATGCCTGAGCCCTCTATATACATTCTTCACAATTTTTCTGTAAACTTAAAACTGCTCTAGAAAACAAAATCTCCTAATAAAAAAAGAAAAACTATCCTATATTTTATGACAGTAAAATAGCCTTTACAAAGTGGCTAATATAGAGATACTACTTTCTTGGGAACCAGCAGTTAACATAATGGCTATGTCGCTGGACTCCCACGCAGTCGAACGCGGCTCGCGTCCCGGACCTGGTGGCTTAAAACTCACGCCGGGCGCATATATGTGCGTGCCCAAGATCCCGAGAGGAGAATGGAGGAGAAGGGATTATGGCGTGACCATCCCCACTGGGGGGTAATTTCTCGCTTTCTGTCTCTATGTCTCTCTCTGTCTGTCTGGCGAGTGCACACGTCCTATAGCGAAAAACCTCTCAAAAAAAAAAAAAAGATACTACTTTCTTGTATATTCTTGCCAGTGACGGGACAACGATTTTAAATTTGTTTTTTATTTTTTCTAACTTTTTAATTTCCAGAAGATATGTGTGCTTGCCAGAGAAAGAGAGAAAAAGAGAAAGCACCCCCACAACTCCAACAGGGATTGGTCATACCATAATCCCTTCTTCCTCAATTTTGCCTCAGACCAGGATATGGGGCATCAATGCACATGAACCCAGAATGTTTTTCAAGCCACAGAAGCCAGGATTCAAATCGCAGTTGGCCATGTGGAATCTGTCTCCCTTATCCATTAGGCTATGAGGTCAGCCCCTAACAGTAAGATATTTCAATTTAAACAGTTATGTGACCCATATTTGAACTCTCCCACACTCATCCTTTTTAAAAAGTGATGTAAGTTAAAATTATTTTATAAAATTAGCACAGAAAATTTTTAAATATATAATTTGAAATGCATCTCATACCTAAGGAATTAGTCATAACAAAGAGCAAATAAACTAATAATCTAACTCCACCTATACCAAATTTTCCCAAAATGTACTCTGATTGTACTAATTACATAATTACATATGTAATTAATATATTATAGGAGAAATAAAGATGGTTCTATACTGAAATGCATTTGGAATGGGCTACGCTGAAAGTAAAGCCATTTCTCTTGTCACAGTACTACTCAAAGCTTTTGGTATACCAATGCTGATAAAAGAGGAGTAGTGGGACCAGCAGTCTGCGTAATGGCTATGTTGTTGGACTCTTACGTAGCTGACTGCAGTTTGAGACCTGGACCCGGTGGCTTAAACTCATGCCAGGTGCATGCGTGTGTGTGCCCAAGTTCCCAAGAGAAGAATGCAGAAGAAGGAATTGCAGCGTGGCCATCCCCCCTGGGGGAGTGATCTCTTGCTTTCTGTCTCTCTGTCTCTGTCTTTCTGGTGAGTGCACATGCCCTATAGCAAAAAACTCTCACAAAAAAGGGGGGGAGAATAGTAATGACCATGAACCTACCATGACTCTATGTGGTCATCTAGATAGTATATAGTATTCTGTAGAACATATTATGAAAAGCATTGACGAAGAAAAGTACCAAATGCAAACACAAGAAATATCTGTTTTGTAGAGACTCAAGTATATAGAAATAATTGTGTTAATAAAACATTTTGGCTTGATCTCAGAACAAGAAAAAGTCTCCTAAAAAGATTTCATTCACTCAGTCAGAAAACAATTTTTAAGCGTATACTATGTATAAATCATGAAAGTAAAAAGGCTAGGACACACATGAGAAATAGTAAATAGGTCACCCTGGCTAAAGCGAAACACACTGAAAAACAAGACTATATCAAAATAATGCATTAGAGGCCAGGAGGTGGCATAGTGGTTAAGGTGCTGGACACTCCCACATGGTAGACCATGGTTTGAATCCCAGGCCTAGTAGCTTACTTTCTCACTTCCCTTCTCTCTGTGTGTCTGCTCTTCTCTGGTCAAATTAAAATAAATTAATGAATAAATAAAATTAAATAATTCTTAGGAAAAATAATAAAATAGAATTTAAAAAAATAATTCATTAGATAGAAAAGAGTTTTTAAATATAGGGTTTTTTAAATTTATCATCATAATCTTGTTTATATTACATTGAATCACATATAACTTTACAGTGTATTACATTTCTTTTAAATAGTTTAGACACTGTAACAGAATCATTAATTTTGTTTTAGTAGGGAGGTAACATGAGCATTGCAATATTGCAAAATTAGCATGTTTGTAGTATATAAGATGGGCTACAAGTCCATGGGCTACGAGTCAAAACTGCTGAAATCATTAAGGAGAAAGGTGCAAGATATCGAAGAGATACCTAAAAACAAAGCGTCATACAAAATAAAAGATGACAGTCATCCAATAAATACTTCTAAAAGTTTACTTTCTTTTAATTTTCATTCATTCTGATGTTTCTACACTTAACTTGATTAACAAACTACTAATAGGGATTCAGTTTTTAAAAAATACTCGTAGAGACCAGGAGATGGCATAATGATTTCGTCGCTGGACTGCCATTCAAGTCCTGGATCCGATGGCTTAAAACATGCTGGGCACGTGTGCGGGTGTGCTCAAAATCCCAAAAGGAGAATGGAGTAGAGGGAACTGCAGCATGGCCATCCCTCCCTGAGGGATGATTTCTTGCTTTCTGTCTCTCTGTCTCTCTCTTCAAGCACACAGGCCCTGTAGCAAAAGCAATTCTCTCAAATAAATAAATAAATAGATAGATAGATAAATAAATGCTCTCACAACATTTGTGACTATATCAGATAAGGTATCAGTACTCATAGGTATTTCTGGTGAAAGTTGGTATACAAAAACAAATCATTTAAACTATAGTTGAAAACTATTATTACCTTTCTGTCTGGCTTTAACTATCACTTCTATATGCTTCATTGCCGCTTTTAACAGTTTCTTGGTTATAATAGATGGGATATCCACCTGGAAAAATTCAATATTAAAATAAAACTTTTAAAATAATTCTCAGTGCATTAAAAAATTTAAGATACTGGAACATATCTTAAGAATCAGGTTATTCAGAATCTTTCAAAAATATAACTTAAAAGCACTTATATCTTAGACATAATAATAGTAACATTAGACAGTTTTTGCATCATAGTATTAAAAATTTATCACAACATGCATGCAGTAAATTCTAAATTTTTCCCACAAAATATTTTCATTTGTAGCTTGTTTCTTTGTGTGTGTGTGTGTATGTGTGTGTGTGTATTTAAAGAAGTTTTTGCCTTAGGGCATGTGTGCTCACTGAAAAGAGACAGACAGTGAGATGGAAAGTAAAATATTACCCTCCCCAGGGGGTAAGGCCATGCTGCAATCCCTTCTTCTCCATTTTCCTACTGAGATCTTGGGCATGCACACACATGCACCCAGTGTGAGTGAGTTTCAAGCCACTGGGTCTGGGACTCAAATTGAGGTTGGCCATGTGGGAATCCAGCGACATAACTGCTAGCCATCTGCTGGCCCCTCTTTGTGTTCTTCATATTCAAGAAAAAATCTGGGGGACAGTAGGTAGTGAGGTATTTAAGGTGCTGGACTCCCACGTGGCCAAATGCGGTTTGAGTTCCAGACTTGGTGGCTTGCTTTCTCACCTTCCCTTCCTCTCTCAGGTCAAATAAAAAATAATAACAACAACTAAAAATTAAATAATTATTTAAAAAATAAAATCTCCAATAAATTATCTCCTAAAAGCTGTAAATCAGTGTTTACTAATAAGTTACTTGAAAATTGGGACCAGCAGTTGGCATGATGGCTATGTTGCTGGACTCCCATGTAATCGACAACAGCTTGAATCCTGGACCGTTGTCTTAAATTCACACCAGGCGCATATGCGTGTGTGCCCAAGATCCCGAGAGGAGAATGGAGGAGAAGGAATTGCGGTGTGGCCATCCCCCCTGGGGGGTGATTTCTCGCTTTTTGTCTGTCTCTCTCTGTCTTTCTGGCAAGTGTGCATGCTCTATAGTAAAAACCTCTCAAGGAAAAAAATAATAAGTTACTTGAAAATATATTTTTTTTCACTCAGCTCACAAAAAAAGTCCTGGTTTTTAAATACATGGAAACATTCTATTTTAGAATATTAAGTTTCGTCATTCTCCACCAACAATTTTCAACGTAAAGGCTGGAAGTTATAGTGGTTATGGCAGTCTAATGGAAAATGGTTGAGGGCTTAAACACACACACACAAAAAGAAAAAAAAAAGTGAGAATAATTACAAAAAATAAATGATCAAAAAGCATGTTTATTGGATTTCAACAGGATTATCTTCTATCATAAAACTTAACACATTATGTTTTTCCTTTAGCAAAGGCATTATAAAATTACATAACAGTGTTAACTTTTGTGATCACTTCTTCTCAATTTTTAAAAATTCCATATAAAGAAAGAAAATCACGGGGTGATAAATATAAGTGTTATGCACCATAAACTCCCAAATTGTAGAAATTTACTGGTAAAACCCAGAGCAAGGGTCGAACATGTTAATAAGAGCTATTTTGCTAGTATTATGCTTCATTGCAAGATAATACTATTCTTCGTTTATTCTCAGACACTTGATACTAACAATTATACATTACTCTCATATTTATCAAATAAATAAGACAGTTTAGTTTTCAAACATTTTATAAAATCTTGTCTCTCAGAATACTCATGAAGATTATAATTTGTAAGTTTGATTTTGAGCATTTCAAATCAAAATTAAAATGGTAAAATTTTGTAACTGAACTTTGATTTTAGAAAAATTATACCAGGCCAACAAGAGGCATGATGGTTAAGGTGCTGGGTTCCCACATGGCCAACTGTGGTTTGAGTCCCAGACCTGGTGGCTTGCTTTCTCACTTTCCCTCTCTCACACTCTGTCTCTCTCTGGTGAGTGCACGTGCACTATAGCAAAAATAAAAAAATAAATAATGTAATAAATTAAATTAATAATTCTTTAAAAAATGAATATCTTAAAATATTCTTTGTTTTCATTGTTCCTAGACTTCCAATTTACAGCATTCAGGCAATGGTGTCAAGGAGAAACTACTACAGTAAGTAGAACGTGGCCCAGTATGAATACCTTGCCCACAACTACTGCTCACATTTAGACAAAGTTATCTGTTTTCTCTGAACTAGGTATAATAATGAACCATTTATGTTCCAACTATAGTGATGTAGGTTAAATGAGAAAAAAGAATATACAACATAATAATCCAGAGAATGGAAGAAAAAAATGAGAGGATCTCCAAAATATTTATGGAAATTTGTATTATGAAAAAACTATGTGGGGATTTAAAAATTTTAGCATCAAAATAAACTTGTACTTTAATCCTATTTTTCCATGAACTTTTTGAAGCCCTCTTGCAAATCTTGTATCTAATAAAGGACATGTACCCAGAATATATAAAGAACTTTTGGGGACCAGCAGTTGGCTGGAGCACTGGACTCCCACATGGCTGGTTTGAGTTCCAGAACTGGCAGCTTGCTTCTCATTTTCCCTTTCTCTCAACAGACAACAACAAATTAAATTAAATAAATAAATAATTCTTTTTAAAAAAGAACTTTTGTAACCAAAGAATAAGAAAACTAGATAAAATATCAGTAAAAGATTTCTCCAAAGAAGCTATTTGAAAGGCAAATAATAAGCATATAAAAAGATGCTCAGAGGCATGAACTCACTAGAGTCCCAGACCTGGTGGCTTACAATGCCCTATAGCAAATTAAATAATAATGATAATAATAAAAATAATGAATAAAATAAAATAAATAATTGTTTGAGGCCAGCAAATGGTATGGTGGTTATATTACTGGAATCCCACATGGCCAACATGATTCAAGTACTGGACCCAGTGGTTTAAAACTCACACTGCTATGTTGTGAGTCCAAGCTCAAAATTGCAGGAGGAGAATGGAAGAGAAGAGATTGTGGCATGGCCAATCCCCTAGGAGTGATTTCTCACCTTCCCTCTCAATGTCTCTGTCCCCTTCTCTCCAGTGAGCACATGGGCCCAGCAGTTAGCATAATGGCTATGATGCTGAACTCCCATGTAGCCAACTGCAGTTCGAGTCCTGGACCTGGTGGCTTAAACTCATGCTGGGCGCGTGTGTGTGTGTGCCCAAGATCCCGAGAGGAGAATGGAGAAGGGATTGTGGTGTGGCCATCCTCCCTGGGGGGGTGATTTCTCACTTTCTATCTCTCTGTCTTTCTGGCGAGCACTAGCACCCAATAGCAAAAACCTCCAAAAAAAAAAAAAAAAAAAAAAGAAAGCTCAACACATTGGCAACAGAGAAATGCAAATCAAAAATCATACTGAAATACCACTTCACATTTACCATTATGGTTAAAATCAAAAAGTAAAAAGTAAGACAATAACAAGTTTTGAATTTAGAGAAATCGGAACCCTCATATACTGGTGGTAGAAATATAAATGAGGCAGCCACTTTGGAAAAATGGTAGTTCCTCAAAATGTTAAACACAGAGTTGCCATTTGACCCTGCAGTTACACTTCTAAGTATATATGCAGGATAGATGAAAACATATAACCACCAAAAAAAGCACAAAAAAACTTGTATACAAATATTCATAAGCAGATAATACTCAAAGGTGGAAATAATTCCTTTCTCTGTCTTTTCCAGCGAGCATAAGCACCCTATGCAAAAACCTAAAATTCAGAAAAGATAAACAATGGCTAATAAACACTTGAGAAAATGTTGTCTCACATCAAATTTTTTAAATGAAAAGAATGTCAGTAACTAACAATGGTGATGATGAGGAGACAGGCAAAGCTAGTACAGATCTGAATTGGTTTAATTCTTTTATTTGAGGACAGTTTGATAATCCTTATAAAAGACTTGAAAATGGGGCCAGTAGGTGGTGTGGTGATTAGGTGCTGGACTCCCACAAGGGCAACTGTAGTTTGAGTCCCAGGTCTGGCTGCTTGCTTTCTCACTCTTCCTCTCTTTCTCTGGTCATACTGAAGAATAATAAATAGGGACTGGCAGGTGGTATGGTGGTTAGAGTGTTGGACACTCCCACATGGCTGACCGCAGTTCAAGTCCCAGACTTGGTGGCTTGCTCTCTCTCTTTTCCTCCCTCTCTCTTTGTGTCTCTCTCTGGTCGAATTAAAATAAATTAATAAATAAAATTTAAATAAATATATTTTTTAATTATTTTATTTAACTTTATTTAAGTATTTATTTATTCTTAATTTGATCAAAGAAGCACAGAGAGAAAGAGATAAAGTGAGAAAGCAAGCCGCCAGGCTTGGGACTTGAACTGTGGCAGGCATGTGCACATTCAGCATCCTTAACCACCACACCACCTGCTGGCCCCTAAATATATTTCTTAATAATAAGCAAGTCATTCTGAAAAAAAAGAGTGGAAAATGTCTGTGCAGGGGCAAGCAGTTAGTGTGGAAGTTAAGGTGGATGGATCCTACACGGCTGACAGCATGGTTCAAATCCCAGATCCGGTGGCTTGAAGAACATGCTGGGAGGGGCACATGTGTGTGTGTGTCCAAAATCCTGGAGAATGGAAGAGGAGAAGGGATCGTGGCATGGCTATCTCCTGAAGGCGTGATTTCTCACTTTCTGTTTTTCTGACTATCTCCAGTGAGTTCATGCTCCATATAGCAAACTAAAAAAACGTCAGTTTATACATTACTCTCAAATTAAATTTCTTTTTTTATATTTTAAGGAAATAAGGTATATAAAAATTTATGGGATCCGGCAAGTGGCGTGGTTCAAGTCTCAGACCTGGTGGCTTGTTCTCTAACTTTCCCTCTCTCTCTCTGGTCAAACTGAAAATAATAATAATTAATAAATAAAAATAAAATAATTCTTTAAAAAAATAAATGAAAATTTATGTTCAAAGGTATCGTGTAGTACAACTTATAACAAGGAAATAAGGAAAACTGAAAATCAAAACTTGTGCCCAGGGACCAGAAC